GTTGAATACTATTCACACTTCAGTGCATCCATTTGCATGATCACATTTCAAAGCCTCAAGGCATTATCACTTCCTTTTTTTAAGTGGCATAATAATTTGGGAAAATGGTTTTGCTTATCATCATCTGTCAGTCAAACAACTCCTGTGTTAACAAAATATATTTTTTCCACTCAATGAATGGCTGTGTGTGTGTGATGTCTTATGCACATGTCAATATTAGCAGGACTTGGTTTTGTGATGAAACTATTTCATTTATCAGAGGGCATGACTGGGAAATACAGAAATTCCATTTACACTTTAATGAGCAGAGACTGTGCTTCACATCGAACTCATGTAACCACTATAATTTAAGTCAAGTTTATAAGAATATATGTAAATAACTGAAGCACTAACATATACATCATATTTTAAGATAGATTTCACGATAAGGTGAAATCTCCATAAGGGATATCTGTATATACTGGGGGAAAAAATCTCTATACTCACTGTTGGTTGATATTGAAAAGATTGGTCAAACCCTATGACAAATTGTTTCATTTGCTGTCCATCATGTCAAATAATAAATGTAACCTCTAACCTGTACATATACTAAATAAAACTTGGACCTGTGATGTCTAATCAAATGAGAGGTCTCATAAATCTGATAAAAAGCTTTCTTGCTCCTGCACTCTTTAACTGTTCAATTAAGTAGGCTAAGAAAAGAGTAAGAATATTATAAATATAAAATATTTTAGTCTAAATAAATGTGCATCTCAAATTTCAATAAGCATTTAATTTAACTTCAGTGTTTTGATGTTTACAGTTTTGATAATTTAAAGAGATGATAAAACAATTATTTATTGCATGAAAAACATTTTATGATAAAACAATTATAGTGAAGAGATGTCCACTAAGAAGCACATAAAATTCTTGTAGTTATAGTCAATACTACAAGAGAAGTTTTTAATGGAGAATTTGTTACTCTTTGTCTGAAATGTTAAGAAGCAATAACATTGACTTATTGTTCAAGCCAATTTGAGCTGGGTTTTCTGAAGCTTTCATTCAAAAATTTCCTAACCGATACAACATAAATTTTATTAACCAGTGTAATATGGTGTTATAAAGAAAGAAAATATTTAATTTTGTTTTTTTTAGGATTGTACATCTCATAGCTTCTTAATTTTTTTATACAGTAAAGAATATAAATATCATTTGTGGCTCCAAATGTTTTTTAAAAACATATTCTAGAATTATTCACTGCTAGGAATTATTACTTGGATCAGGACTCCCAATTTTTGTTTAGAAACAGCTACTTCTGCTGTTAGACGTTTTTTAGAATGTTCCCAGTTGATAATATCATTTAAATATTCCAATTCTTCCTTGAGCTTCTGAAGAGTAACAAATTCTCCATTAAAAACTTCTCTTGTGTGGGCCAGCCCGGTGGCGCACTGCTATAGTGCGCCGCTTGGGAGCGCGGCGGCGCTCCCGCCGAGGGT